ATTCAACCGCTGAATGGTAAGCGCCTAATAATATTTTCCCCCTGGATTCTATTCCATGTCTTTGTTAATTCAGGGAGGGGAGAACTTGCTGACTTTTTATCTAGATAAACTAGATCGCACCATTAGCTTATGCTTAAAAAAACATTTAAGGGGTCATTCAGGTATCAATCGTGAATCGTAGACATTGAATAAAATAAGATTGAAATCACAAGATTTATTTATTTAAAAGCGTATTTGTTATTTAAATTTTAATTTCAATTTGGAATATCTGTTGTACGATAAATTAATAACCGAATATATCAATGGCCACACAACTGCCCGTTTACCGTATTGCGACATTATATTCGAAGTATCTCGGCTAGTCAATTAACGCTGCGCCTCGGCGGCTATCCTGCTAACAAGCTACGTTATTGCAGTTGTGGGAACGGGACCGTGCTGAGATGGAATGGGCGAAATACATCGCATGAAGCCTCGTATACACTCAAATAGCCCCTGAATCCACTATAATTTAATGCATGCTCTAGTTACCAAATGAATGATACAAATCCCCATGTTTGAATTGAATAAGGTCGGGTAGAGGTCATCATTGTTGCGAAATTTGCCGCGCTTTAGGTAGGTAATACTTTATATTATAGATAAGGTGAGATGGGTCTGCGTGAAAGTGGTTGGGAAGAGCTGGTGAGCTTTTTTGAACGGGCTGTGGATTTTTTACGAGAACACGTATTTTAAGTTGGTATTTTTTACGTACTTTCTATCTTGCAAATATCTCTCGTAAGAAAATCATTGTTTTCTTTGTGTCCTTTAATTTGTGTCCGGTGTAAATGACAAACACGTTTGTCACGTTAAGGTGTAAGGTTGATTAAGGATTAATATTAAATCATTCACCATCCTTCTACCTAGATCGGATTTAATTTTGATAGAACTGCGCAACAGTTTCTGTTCCGAGAAGTGTTGGAAATCTATCTAATACTATCTAGGAAAGTACCATCGCCTGACAGAAGAACGGCGAGATTTAGAGACACTTACACTTTTGCATTCTAATTACTTAACATCCATTATTAAGATCTATTCAATTCCCTTGCAACCTAGACACATATAAAAGACAAAAATGTACGTAGAAAGAACTTTTAATTTTACAGAAGATTGTAGAGGAAGGTATAATAAATAAGAATCAACCTAATCTTTAAAGCGTTGCTCGCTTTACTGAATACCAAAGACTTTGTGACTCGAGGTTGCTACAGCGATAGTTTCCTAATCTGTTATATAATTTAAAAAAAACTTATTAAAGTTTTTACAACATTGCAAAAAGGTTTGTTTTGTTTCTAAAATACGATCAAGTTAAAAACTTATTATGAACAGACACTCGCCTCTCTTATATTCCGGATTTAAACAAGTTCCTTTGTTAATGCGATGTCGATTTATTTTCGTGTCGGTACAAGTTTTGTTGTGCTTAGCTCGATAGTTAAAACTGATATCGCATTCTCACACCTCGTTGGGCTTTAAAGCAATAAACCAAGACAGATCAGATATACTACCTGATACTATATATAAGGCTCGGTTCAATATGGCCTATTCTGCGAATTCAGAAGTATAATATATTGTAGAAGAGTTATTATTGTTATTGAGTTATTGTAGAATAAGCAGTGCTATTTATAAATGATAAACAAGAAAACCATCGTGTCAGTAAATTTACATATACAATATTTTTTTATGTTTGGAATGGATCTTTTACGAAGTGTTCATTTGTATTTTACTTAGTAATTTGTATGTAATAATTAAAGTTTAATAACTAAGCCGAATTTTATTTAAAACATTTAGGTAATTACGGTACATTTGTTGCAAAAGTAACATGACAAACGCCGCATGCAAATGGATATTCTATTATTTCTATGGATTGGAAAGATCTGTGATTACAATAAGTGTTTGATGTCGTCGTGGTCATATTTTCTTTTAGATAAGAATTTGAATATATTTAAAGGTCCCTAAGTTATATTTCGATTGTAATCATTTTGCATATACTTTTTACGATAAAATCGATATCTGCGTAGAGTGGAAGTGTCTTAAAGAACTTTGCTGCATGTCTTTAAGTCACTTTCTTTATTGTAAATGTACGATACACATCAGTAACGTGTTAACATTTTTGTTGAATATATATATAAATATATATATATATATATATATATATATATATATATATATATATATATATATGTGACCAGTACGTGACCAATGAAATTGGGTCGAAAATCAATATTCATTGCGTCCGCTACGAGCCGGGCTGATATGATAGCGTTCCGTTGATTTATTGCCCTTTGTCGAAACAAACTAGCTGTGAAACAAACTTAGCCATTAATGCTGCACATTAATGCACCACTTAGTCGTAGATCTTATATGATAGTCCAGCCAGCTATTAGAGATGTTTCCTTATTACTTCCCTCGGAAGATTCCTGATAGCGTCTACTACGTTTCTTAGATGTTTACCTTATCACGGCGGTAAATTCTGATAAATTACTTCTTCCTAGTTTGATGGTATAAGTAAGGATTTGTATGTGATTATTTTTCAGCTTTGAAGAATGTTTTTCTGTAGCGCCATTCACAATGAATGACCAATTAATACGTAAAACACTAAAGTCATGAGGTGTTAGAACGAAGTTTATTTTACTAAATAACAGGCAAAATAAAATATATTGACAAATTTTGATAGTGACTTAAGGAAAAATAAGAAAATAAAGTAGGAATGGTAGTAAAATATTAATTCATTAATTTTTTTTTTTGTAGTTAAGGAATTAAACCTTTTGTTATTAGTTAACACATACGTATTGATTGTATTTATTATTGCATTGCACGTATACATGCATATACGAATGCTGCTGACTGGTACACTTCTTTAGGCTTATTCACTAAGTGTGCAAAGTATAACGTGCGATAACGAACTTCATTTTAAATAAACGGGAATCATGCGTGGGTTACAGAAGTTACAGAAGGTTACACAAGTTACAGAAGGTTATCAAGTAACAGTATCTTAAACGTGTTTTGTATCAACGCTTAATATGTGAGCCACAATATAAATATCTTATACGTGTTCTGCATAAACTTATTCAATATTTGAGTCTCAATATCAAATATAAAAACACAAACACGCACCTCTTTTGGCCCATACACTTAGACAGAGATAGCAAATGCTAGATAAGTTCCACCGAACTTATGTTTGTAGTAAACGTACCGGTGCAGTGGCGAGCACGTAACCGCCCTGCAGGCTGGGCTCATAAAAAGAAAAATAATCATTCGCAATCATGCGCAAATACAATATATATCTGAGAGTCATCTCTCACATCAAAGTTATCAAGGACTAAACAATACAATTTCAGCAAAGCCCCCTACATTTATAAAACTTGACTGCAACCTACTGCATCCGTGGTCACGGGATGACACTTTTTTAACCTGACCAATCTACGCAAGCAAATGCTCATACTTAACGGAATAAAATGAACGATTTTCATACATAAGAATAATTTTTCCATTAAATCTGGGAACTGGTATCATGGGCGCGAAACCTGAAGACGCAGGTTCGAATCCCGCAAGTCGAAAGTTTTTGTTCATTTATCAAATTGAAAATACAATTTAAAACTCACTTCCGTGACCGTAAACGCTGAAAAGGGTAGAAGTTAAGTTAAAATTAAAACGCGATTAAATCCCTCAAATAGTTGGATTTCATAAATTTAAAACTAGTTATACAATATAATATATTTACAGTTAGATATTTCAATACACGAAGGTTCCTCAATGACAGCCCATCGTTACGATAAAGATCGATATGTGAGCGAGTGATTCTAATTGTTCCACTATCTTGCGCTCCATCGGGCTCATTAGTGCGAAACCACTTACCCCTACTTATGTTTTCCCGGACTATAATTCTTTATAGCGATTCCAGTGCCAGGTGCGTGTGCGATCGACCCACTCTACGTCATTAAAGAGGGTCTACGACCTTTTCCCATTATTACGTACCACTTGAAACTCGATTGTAAATGTCTGTTGATACTGATAATTGCCACAACTACTCGAAACCCCGTCAACAGTTGCTTCGATTGTATTATTACAAATGAAACTACGTTTCGTACGTTTTCGAATTTATCAGGATTTTAAGTAAATCGCAGACGAACCTTAAATAATTGAGAAACCTCTTAAAGTTATAATTAACACTTATTAAGAAAATTGCTCAAGGTGCTTATTTTTACAATTTATAAAACGCATCTTGAAAATATTTAAATACTGTTGTTCACATAAAAAAAAGATTATTTTTCTCTTTCATAGATGAAAGTACGACACTAACGCCCGGTTTCTGAAACACTGATCACCGTAGAAGTTAAAGCTCTCAAATGGCTTTTCAAATGTCATTCAAGTTGCCAAAAGGATGGGTAACTCTTTAAATTGATCATTCTGATCATCAAGAAGATCATTCTTATCAACTCAGAGAGTTTAGGCATCCTTTTGACAACTTAAATATAGCTGATTAGTTACCTTATACGATGATCAGTGTTTCGGAAACCGGGCGTAAGTTGACGACACATACCGATTTCCTACAAGACTGTCTCACGATCCTCCTAAAAGTAACATCAGTATCGAGTGACGCTAATCAGCATATAATTTGCGAGGCCCACCTTCCCCGCTAAATGACTAATTTGGACCTTTGCTAATTTTCGCCTCATTACGACACTCGCTGCTTCTGCGATCATTATTAACATTTTAATTCGTGGCTATTAATTTTCCATTTAGCTGCACCATTGGACCCACCTTATCTCGCGATCGGTGCGCCGTCAATTATTTATCCGGTGATTTAACGTGTATTTGTCGATTTTAACGCGTTCGCGTGTCGGTCGCTCCCCCAGCGGTATTGTTGCGAACCATAGCCGCGATAACGAATTTGGAAACAATCATTTGCCCGTTCCAACGAATGCTTTGTTAAAGTAACAGATGCTATAATGTATTCTCTTTTGTTTCAGCTGCCTCAGTCCCCGATCGGCCTATTTTTACGAATTCCCACCGAGTGGTAAGTGATTCTCTTATTGAAATGAGCATCCGTCGAATCGTTCGATCATCATTTCGTTTTTCAATGGCGTATTAACTACGATTCAAAGGGGAAAAATTGACAAATACGATCGCTACGTGAAAATTTAAATAATAATCCCTTGAAGATTTTATCAACAACCCACGTACTTTTTGATTAATTTGCTACTCAGGGTTATGAAAATTAAAATGATGTTCTGGCCTTAGACGCTACTAATAGAATGACTTGAGATTACATTTATTTTAGTATACATAATACATATTAGATTTATTGTATTATGGTCTAAATGAATTATCGATTGACTTATTAATAAATATTCACTTAGTTTAAAATACAAGATTTAGTCACCGAATTAATTTAATTATTCTATAGTTTAGTTATGTAGCTAACGATATAAAACCATATTCGTAGCTTTTTGCCTTGTTCAATGACGCGACCATTCATTTTTACCTTATACCAGTCCTTTTCCCTTTAGACAACTGCCTGGGAACTGCAAAGAAGAAGGTCACAACCTTCTCGCGGCTGCTTCGCGGCTTGAAGTCCCACAGGAAAGAGAAGCACGGCTCGTGTTCGCCGAAACACAGCCACAGTCCAAGACAGACACTACCTCCGCAGAGGGTAAGTCAATTTACAATTGTAAAACGTAAGACAATGTTTTAAAGACCAGCGTAAAGTGGAAGTATGACAAATACTTTCGCGTTTCGTCTGGTGAGTGAGGTAGCCGGAGCCCAATTTCCAAAAAGGTTGTCAACGCATCTGCAAACCCTGGGGTGTAGCAGATGTCTATGGGCGGCGGTATTCACTTAACATCAATTGAACCTACTGCTCGTTTGGCAACTTTTCACATAAAAAAATATACTTTTAAATTCCAGTTGTCTTCAATCATTATTGTTATTTTACTGATGATGATCGTGTTCCAATAAGAATTCCTGTAAAGTTGAGTAGCCGTTTAGACGCTATGCTGTATTCCATTTGGAGTGTGAAATTCTGTTGGTTTCTTATCAATTGGAGTTTGACTGACCGGAAATATTAGTGATTAATATCCAAATAGTTGTTGAATAACAATTTTTCGGTGCCAACATCGAATACGGAAATGAACATGTAAACACGTAATAATTTGCACGGAAATTAGTTTTTAGTAACAAGAAAACATGTCAATTAGCATTAGTCAAGAAGAGTAGAAGAGTTTGGCTCACTGTATGACCTCAAAATGTGGTATGATTTGCTCATAGTTATAGATATAAAGGTACCTATATAGTATTTTTTAGTCTTTAGGGTGTGATTTTGTTTTTGTTTGAATTTAATGCAATGTTGTGCATGATTTTACTAGGTAATGATATAATGAGAGCGTATAAGGCACGGTTAATATGAAAATGTAATATTTTTTGGTTTGTTTATTGAAATTGTAATGATGCTAACGTTTGAGTACCAAACATGAGTTTTTTTCATAGAACAAAATTTTTTATCTGTGGTCCGGAGCAAGCATTCATACCGTGTAAGTAAATGAAATACATTTTTGATGATCCAAGTATTTCTCGTATAATATTTAACTCGGCCCCCTTAAGTTGTTTTGACCCAGGTCAAACAACATCATCTTTGCCTCGAAAAAAAGGCAAAAAGCCAGGCCTAATCGGAGACGTACCAAAAAAATTCAGACTCGTCGCCGAATTCCCAAACAACGCAGCGTAATAAAGGGGGAGGGGACAAGTGGAGGCAGACGAAACGCGATTCCTCGTTGCGTCAACGACGGTGTAACCGAATCTTAGAGTACCGCGGCGGCTCGCGAAGTCTGCTCGCCGAGTTTTTTTTTCCATACATTCCCTTTCGCCACCCCCCATCCGCCATTATGTAGATCCGGCGTCGCCGGTCCTCCTTTGACATGCACTCGGAGCAATTAGTGCGACGCGCCTCGCAGCCCGTATGAGTCGGCGACGCGAGCGGTGCGCGCTCACAAATGCGTGTAATGAAAATTACTACGGCCATTGTAACCGCATACTTTATAATCTCCGTTGATACTGTTGTGTTTTGTTCGCACTAAGCCGATGTCCTTATCGGCGTGTATACCGTGCATGCAGTGACGTAGCTCGTTCGTATCGTTATTTATATTAAAGTTTTAAGTTGATTGTCAGTATCGTGATACTGATTGTACCGATTAATGTTAACATGAATTGATTTTAATAATGTTTTATAATATTGTAGTACTAATTAGATAAGTAATGTTGTAGCCTTCTGTAGCAACATATGACAAAAATTTTAGTAGGCTTTCGTAGCTTTCAAAAATACTGATGCTTTTTACGATTTTAGAAAAGTCACGCATCCATGAATATATTGTTGTAAAGCACGATGTTATCGTACACCAAGAAAACAAAGGCTTCCCCTCAACTGGACAAAGGTAGATAAAAGTCAAAGACAAAAATAAATAGGTACGAGTACCAATGCAGCGCTTTCTCTTTGGATACGCAACTCATCTTGACCGAATTAAGTGCTACATTTTTCCACGTCCACCTATATTTATTAATCTCCGAAGAAGGGAGGGTTACGTCACCGTGTGCCTTTTGAGAAATGACGCCTGCCAAAGTTAAGTCGGTTGAGCCAAGGCGACGGGGCTTGAATTATGACCGTTTGTTGAGCGAACGGATAAAGGCCATTAGGGCGCTCGGTATAATCCTTATCGGGCAACTTGCACTTAGGATTAGTTCTGTCAGGAGTCGCTTTTTTCTGGTGCCGTGGGGGCTCCTAGGCAGCGATTAGAGGATCAGTATTTGAGGAACTTTACGTCTCCGCCCTTAGATATGCTTTTCCTTTATCAGGCGAATTATTTGTTACAAGTAGTATTTTTTTTAATACTGTCACTATCTTCCCTTCTTAGATTATAGTTGTAAGAAATTGCAGTTTTCAAATAAATAATAACGTGTTATGGTGTACTTATTACATTTTTACGGCATGGTTACTAAATTTTACAGTTATCATGTATTGATATGTTAGTATCTGTTTCTGGAGATACTCGTAAAAATGAAATTGGCCAATTCGCAATTTTTAAACTATCTGTTACGCTGTATTTGTGCTAAATCCCGTATTGGCATCCTTCCCCGCAACTTTAACGTCTTCTTGTGTGCTTGTGGGATATAATACCGCTACTATTACACTATTACGGTTTTGTAGATTCCCGATATCGGCAATAAAGCTTTATATTGCAATAATACGGTGGCTTCTGCTAACGTTTAGAATATCGTAAATATCCAACATCTTGTATCGATTACATCGCATTGGTTACTGAATTGCTGAGTGTCTACCGTTCCTTTACTTAGTAGTAGTAGCGCTTTGATATCTCCAATAAACTTTAACGACGTCGTTCATTTCGCCGATCATCGCGTTTCATTGTAACATGTAAACATTTAAATAAGGTTAGACCTTTGTTTCCGCGATTTGACGCGAACTATGCGAAGATATTTTACGATGTAATAAAACGAATCTAGTTCAAGAAAATGAACGCGATATTAAAGTTCTGCAACCACGAAAGTTATTCCTCTCGGCGCATTTATCACGTTTACTGTGGTAATATTTTCAAAGCAATGCTTTTGACACAGATTACTTTCGTTGTACGTTCGCAACGCGAAACTTTATTTACATTTCTAGCTTTGCGTCCTTTTTCAAATTACACATAATTCCTTTGAGATTTAATCACTTTTACTCCAATTTAGATTCCTTATTCGAATGGCAACCCAATTCTTATAATATTCTTTACACAAGTTGTAATTGCAAATTTATGGTAACTTATATATTTTTCCTATTTTTTTTTATTTGAGAAGGCATCATTGCCAACTGTCATCAATGATATTCGTTAGGTTACAGATGCCTTATCGACCTTCAAAAGAGGTCTCCACCTACCGCATTAGAACGCAAATAGAAGAAACGCAAAAGCTTATTTCTTCCACTTCAAGCTGGCCTTCTGGTATCTTTGTTTTATATACTGGTTAGAGCTTTACTTCTATCTTATATATTTAATAAGTAACATAGCTCTAAATAAATAAGCCTTCGTTCAACTGTTGCACGCACCTGAGGAGCCGGGCCGAACCGGCATCTCGGCCTTACTGAAGTCGTATTATGCTTTTACGTTTCACCGGGCTAAGTGAGGTAACCGGGATCCACTATTTAAAAGGTTGCCAAAGCATCTACTACCGCTCATGCGATCTTTGTTTATTTTTGTTAATGTGGGAGTAACGCCTACGCATACCCTTCTTTACGGGGACTAGGAGGGACTGTTTCGGATTCGCACTGACTCGCATTAGGGCGCAGAAGGGCCACGGGAATGCATTCGCAAACTTTCGCGACACTGCCAGCGCTGACTACCTAAGAAGCCCCTCCTAAGGCAGCCCACTTCTGCTCCGGGTATGGAAAATGGAAAATTCAGTGCCTCGAAACTCGGCCCCTTTACACGACCAAAAAGCTCCCCCGCGTCCAGATTTTTGTCTGACCAGATTCCATGGGAGCCAGTGCTATTAAGTAGTATCCGCGTACTCCTTTGATAACTTTTCACAAAAAGGAATAAAGATAGAAAACGAGCCTCAATCGGAATGGGAACAGTAAGGGCCATGAATTAAGCAAAATAGATGTTTACATTTCAAATTCACTTCATTCATATGACCCATTTCAGTAGGACTGCAGTAAAAAAGCACTTTATTATTTCATTCCGCCCGTGATTGTTGTTACGAGCACTTGAACCCACTAAGTAGGCGATTGCTACAGTTGAAGCTCCAAATGAAAATTCTTTTTATATTATTGTACTGGGTCGGTTGTTGCAAGAAATTGTGTGGAAAAATATAAGTACTGGTCAGTAATTAGGATTTGTACCTATTAAATAAAATTCACTTGAAAGCTAGTAGTTGAGATGTCGAGTCGCGATTCGAACTTTATAAGGTCAAATAAATAAGCAAACATTATTATCTGTGTATAGTTTATAGACTCTTATATATCCTGACTTATTAATATTGAGAATTAACATTTTTTTATATTTCCGATGTGGTAGCAATTCAATATTTGCTTTTCGTGCCGTGCGTGTCAGGTTGAACGTATTAAGTATTTAAAAAAATAATAAAAATCCAAAGGTAAATATCGAACGCATTAAGGAACGATCTTTACGAGGTGTAATAAGGGTCGATGTACGGGACTTCGCAGAAATGATAAAGGAAATGAAAGGCTGGCTTCATAAAAAGGAATCTCTAAAACAGGTCACCCCAAACGAAAATGTATATGCCTGATAAAGAACCTATAAATTTTCGCACTTAAGTTCCGGCTTTTAATATAGAAAAGCCTATTGTTGGGCCCGTATTCCCTTATCAAGTGCAAAGTAAATGGGCGAGCTTTGTGTTTCACATGATTAATTGATTTGTCCGAGTCATTATAATATGCTCATAGATGAATGTATTATTTTGTATTTTTTAAGTATAAAAAAATGTTACAAGGAGTAGTAAGTTGAGAATAAGTAAGAAATTCGTAACTTACTACTGACAATTAATTTTAATTTAATTTAGCTACCTATTCGATGTAGATTGTACATTTTTTCTGTAATGGAATTTAGTTTAATTATCCTACTTAAATAAACTTTAGTAAAAGCCTGTAGTAGTTAACGTTTAAAATTTTATTTCTTTCCAATTAATATAATACAACGATTTTACGTTAAGTAAAACATAAGATGTAACGTTATGATCTGTCAGTGAGTAATGATTGCATTGGATAGCGGAATATCACGTTCGCGGCTCTCCAATATTAATTTATCTTGTGAATGTATTAGGTAAACGTGAATTGTGAAAAAGTTCAAGCTATCAACGGAGTCAGCTCTAGTTCGCGATAGTCTGCGAGAGAGAAACGAATAAATTGCGTTTGATAAATGATCGACTTGCCCCGTCAAGTGTGGTGCCGAGGTTTCTCGCTAAGAACGAACTTTTTCGGTTACTCCTGAATGAATAGAAAATATCCGATCAGTGAACTTAGTATAATAATTACTTTAGATAAACCGCTAGACATTCTTTCATAACCGTATGTATGAAACAGGATAAAGGAGAAGAAAGGCTTAAATTGTAAAATCACTACTCACTTTGACGGTTAAAATTGCAACGGTAATCGTTTGTAACACCAAGCCAAAGAAAAGCACACAAAAACCGATTTTATATCGCACTTGTGTGGGCCAGCGCTTCTTCTCTAATCCAGCAGGAACAGCTGCCGTGCGACTGAGCCACAGGAATAACGATGCATCTATGAACTTTCCCTCAGGTCGATACACCAGACAGCGTGCTACAAAGTGGCCTGGGGCTAGGGCCCGGCCCCGACACAGCCTTGAGGTCCATGGTTGACCCGCGGGACTATGACCGCCTCCGCTTTTTACAAATGACCGCCGCCCAACCAAACACCTTCGAAGAAACTATACAGAGGGTGAGCCATCGTTTTCCTGCTGCCCGCGTTTGAAAGACCGCGTCTGTGTCGCGTCGCAAATGTCCTCAGTTATTTCGTTATTGAATGACAAGACTTTATAATTAACGAAGTTTTAACGAGTTACATTTTAATCATACTTATCATCAATATTATTAAAATAGCTTAAATAATTGTCTTAGATATTTTTATTAAAACAAAAGTATCTCAGTTTCTATTGGTTTCTAAAAAATGTATCATGATATAATTATATAAGTCATTGACTAAAATAATTGACGAGAACTTATTAAATACCCAGTATAAATAACTAAGCGACACAAACCTTTCGTCTTTTAAACCGGTTGCAGGAAAATAACTGTTATGCTCTGAATGGCAAAATGCATTAAATATTTTAAATAATACCTTTACAACGGATTCAACATTATTCTTGTAAAACGAGGTGTATTCTGTGCTTATAGTAACTGCCTATTATTATTATTTTAACTGCAATACTGTCTAATAACAGTATTGAGAAATATAAATCTAGTTATGTTTACTTCGGTACATCATAGCAATGGGTATTTTGCTTTATACCGCTTTTAAAATTTTATTTTTGTTTAATATAAGTGTTAAAACTATGTAATAGTGTTGGGACATGTAGTGGAATCTCTGTAAGTGTATTATTTATCAATATAATTTTTGCTTTGCCAGCAGAGATATAACAGTGTCAAAATTCAAAATTTTTTTCAACTCAATGTTTGGCTTCATGTTTTTTCGGAATGCTCAAAAACTAGGAGGTGGATCTAAATTATTGTGACTAAAATTATTTGTATTTCAGAGGAGCTTGTAAATAAATTCGGTGTTTCTTTTATTAATAGTTACAATTATTAAATATTTAGAACTTTCTTTTCATTGCGCACCTGCACGAAAATTGCACTAAATTATAAAAATGCACGTTAATGCACGATTTTTAAATGCATGCCAAAAATGTGTTAATAAGTTTTATAAAACTTTCGTGAAGTTTTATCATTTCGCCACAATTCCAACTTCAAATCAACTTAACATATTAATAACATAATTATATTGGTAAAAATATTATTTTTATGCATTCAGAGGATGTAGACATCATTTTACTCCAGTGATACCTACGTACCGTTCAACCGTGCATGTTTGAAACTACATGTTATTTTTTAAATTTCAAACAAAATATATTTAAAAATTGTGTAAATCATGGAACTAGGATTGGGTGTATGTTTGTTTTGTTGTTAAAATAATATCAAAAAAAATATGATTAATCTGAGTAGGTAGTGGTTATTTTGACTTAATTATTTTCGGTGGATATTCATATTAAAAACCTAAGATCCGTTCTGTTTAAGTTATAAATGACGAATGAGTTTTGTTTGTTACAGTTGAAAGTTCAGGAAGCGATGAAGAAAAAAGACAAGCTGGCGCGGGAACAGGAAGAGGTAACTTTTTGCACTTGCTAATTTTAGGCAAATATTTAGGTATATAATAGCGGCACGCTCGATTTTCTTATATAAATGTTTTAAATCTAAAGAGAAACATTACGGAGACAATATAATTACGAATCAAAAATTGTCGCAGACGTTAAGATTTTGAGAAAAAAAATATTATCTTTTGAAAAACACTAAGGATATCCGCCATAACGTTACGTTTTTAAATTTATTACTGCCGATTCTTAGAAGGAACTCACGTTTTGATTGTTTTGGAAAATACAGTGATACATGATACTTAAAAACATTACCATTAAATTAAGATAGATTAGGTTCCACGTTCATTCATCATTTATTTGTAATATTTTTATGGTGACGAAGAACTAATTCACATAAAAATGTTGCGAATAAATGAAATATTTATTTATTCGTCATATTTTTTGTGAATGAATTTTGTAATAAGTAAGTAAAAAGGAAATTTGTAGGTTTCATTGAATTATTTTTTGCTGTAAATGAAGCATACTTTTAGCACCATTACTTAAGTTTATTTTTATACAAATGGGCTTATCTGTGCATATTATTCATTAGATTATATTCAAAATTTACCAAGTGAGTATGTTTTTACACTCCCGTCTAACTACGTTATGAATAATTGACTAACCAAAATTACAAAGAATATAAAAAACCAATTTGTATTTAACTGGTAGACTTAGTATATTTAATAAATTTTCCATATCGTGTTATTTGTTCACAATTCGATGAATCATATAAACAAAACAAAACTCTTAACATTTCAGAATAATTCACTAAACAACTACCTCGTAGTGATAGTCGTTTAATGTCAGAATTAAATAAAAGTAACATCAAAATGCCCGTAAAAGTATCAGTATTTGTAATATTCAAGTCGTTATAAACTGGGGTGGCGATAGCACTGAAACTTTCTAATATTACGCAGATAATAGTTAACGAGACGTGTTCACAACTGTCGCAGACGTGAAGTTTTCTGAAGGACGTCGGTATTGAAGACGGAACCGATAATCCCGCGTCAGACCCGCCTTCTACGTGCGAATCGACCCAAAGTCTAATCGCGGCCTAATCTCGGGCTAAGCCTATTACGAGCAGTTGTACCGATTCCCTACGAAACTTTGGAAGCCCTTTGGTGGGCATGTCCCTTTGGAGGACTGGGTTTCTGGCCACTGCAGTGCGTATTATAATCGTAACCGATTACTACTTTATCATCACATTCAAGTATATCTATACTCAGACGAGTTTCAGATACATTGCGTCATAGAAGACCGGCGTGAAGTAGAAGTGTTACACTTCTGCGTTTTGTCTGGTGACTGGTAGCCGGGCCCCACTTTATTAAAAGGTAGCAATGCATCGGCAACACTACGGGTGTTGCAAATGTCCTGGGCGGCGGTTATCAATTGACATCAGATGAAGCTCATTTGTCACTTTCTCACGTAAGAAAAATAAATTTCCAACATTAAAAAAGTGGGCTACAGTTAACTCATTCACCAGACGAAAGTATAACTTTTATTTCTTGCAAATCTTCTGTGAGGCCTGTACCACGGCCCGGCGATTCTGCACATTCAGGCCACACCCAAAGCCACTGCGTGGCCCCACCACAGTGGAATGTTGTTTGTCACATACCGTCAGGTGATTTAGTCTTTTGGCGTCTTTTCTTCCAAAATATACTGTTGTAAATGATACCGAACTAAGTCCACTATACTTTTCAATTGATACTTTCAACGCCGTATGTGTAGTTTTAATGTTTTATCACAATATTAGCTATGATAGCTCAGTGTCCTGTTACTCGCTTTTAATTTAATATACTCGAGCAGCACCAATTAAATTGTTTATTTTAAGTGCTGACTTATTACGTGCTAAGCGGTGAAGGAAAACATTGTGAGGTGAAAGAAACATTTCGAAAATATGAATGTTTCATATTTTCGAAATAATAAAAAAAAATATCCTCTGTTAAGAGGAGGTCTTTGCTCAGCAGTGGGACATGTATAGACTGTTACTTTATTTTACTCTTATTAAATTGTATAGTTCATGAACCGAAACCTAAATGGAATGTTAAAATTTTACGACAGAAATCGACCATTCCCCTCACGAAACTGTTCGTAGTGTGTCATTAAAAATTAGGCAGCCACTGGCTCATTGATTCTTGTAGGTATCAGTATTCTTCGTGGACGGTCAGAACGTTTCTTGGCGATGGATTTATCGTTTTCCTTATTTTTAACACGTTTCCACTTTGTTCCGCACCGTGCTCGCGGTACGAAAACATATTTCTAATGGCTATTTAAAAATGACACGACATACTGTCACTACCAACAATTACTCGAGAGCAATTTAATACACTTAAAACTAATCTTTTATTTCTTCGATTAAATCGATTCACACTTGGAATTCTTAGTGATTAAAACGTATTCTTGATTTTGAATGTAATCTAATTAATTAATTAATTTTGTTATTAGTAAAATAAAAATGACGCTACGACCCTTGACAGGATTTTTAGTTAGAATAATTTTTTAATTTGACTTTTTTAACATACGAGTATACAACGCAACAGTTCCCTGTTCACTGTCCGGGGAAGTACCACGACCTCACAGAAGACCGGTGTGAATTGGAAGTATTAATATATTTTTTAACATTTTGTTACAACATACAACCAAGCCTCATTAATACAATTTAAATTACACTTCAAATTAAATAAACAACCAAGCCTCATTAATACAATTTTAATGCTCGGATTAGTATTTTTTTAAATGACAATGTTTTTAAATACCAGACAGCCTTTGAGATTCAATGAATAAGAGAAAAATCGATGATTACAGCAGTCCAGAAACATGACCTTGACATTCTTCACGACCTATCCGCAATATTAAGGAAAAAGCTACTAACGTCAAAAAGCCGTCTTGTAGTAAAATATATCCTAACTGATTAAATGGAATCCGTTCTTATTAGGAATATTCCTTTCGCCGACCTTTACTCGGCGAAAGGAATATTCCTACCAAATTTCAAGACTCTACGCCTTACGTTTCCAGAGATATCTTGATGAGTCAATTATCGGTGGAAATCTCTTATATATATATACATCTTTTCATTGTTGTTGTACCAAAATAGGTAAATTAATAGATTAATGCAAATATAAAATTAAATCGCTGGTCTATGAGTATTCGAACTACTGTTTCAACGTACACTTATGATATAAAACTCCAGTTGAATTCACCATCCTATCGATACACAACACGAGGTAGACTGTTACCTCATACGCTATGAAAAACCAAACGCAAATCCCCTCCATGTCGTCCCTGAGCCGTCTCCGAAACAAGCGTGCATAAATTAACTTAATGTTCAATACTTTTCTACTTACGTGGAAGCTGTCGTTTTGTTGCCGCTTTTGAGAATTTATTACGTATTAAGCATTCGCGAATGCTTTAAGAAGCGTAGGTACGTTTTGAGAAAAAAGTGACAAAACTTTTTCTTGCGCTGCCCCACTATGCATCTTATAAAGATAAATGCAGAGGAGTATTGCATAAAATTGTTTGTAAGATCAAAAAGATTTTTCTGTCAAATGCACATTCTGTTTAAGTGAAGTATGATTTCTATGATCATCGGGTCCTGAATTATTTTCGTTTCTCAATGAAAAAATCTCTTAGTCTTGCTACCTATGTCTTATTCCTTTAGATCAAATCATTAAAGTTTGGAATTTGGAGAGTTCTTTGCCATCCAAAATAAATTCCAACGAAACAAAATAATACTAAAACCGACTATATAATATCAATTTGCATATTGCCGGCTTCATAGATGGTAGTTACAAATTCACTAGCATTATATACTTACATACGAAGATCAATCTGAATATTATTTAAGTACAGTCGGCTAATAAAACTTCACTTTAATAATAGCTTGTTGAAGTTTCTGAGCTTGGCCGTTTAGGACAATTTACAAATTTATTATATGAAAAGCTGTGGTTTGCTTGATGCTTTTTTATGTGAAAAGTTGCCAAATGAGCAGACGGTTCACCTGATGGTAAGTGAATACCGCCGCCCATGGACATCTGCTACACCCGAGGGTTACAGATGCGAACCTTTTGAAAATTGGGTTCCTCACCAGGCGAAACGCGAAAGTATTTGTCATACTTCCACGATGCTGAGTGAATCCACACAACGGACATCTACATTACCTGATTGCTCGTGCTCATGTGTTGACAACCTTTATAAAAGTGGGTCCCGGTTACCTCTCCATCAGACGAAACGCGAAAGTATTATACTTTCACTTCACGCCGGTCTTCTGTGAGGCCGTGGTACTTCCCCGGACGAGCCTGCCCATTCGTGCAACAGCAGAGGCCTTTTCGTTGCTAACACAAAACTGATAATATAATTGTGTATTACTATAGCTTCTTCGAAGCTAAGCAGCTAAGCATACCTAATAAGCAAACGTTTAAAGCTAAGCATACCTAATTTACAAACGCTGACATAAAGCGAGCTGTTGACGATAATATCTTTCGATTGTTACAGATTCTAAGGGATATAAGGCACGGCCTAATGAACATGGGTCGGGACGGCGTCCGAGGGCCTTTTGGAGGTGAGTTCCTATAATTGGTTTAAAGCTGTATGTAAAACTAAATGTTATTAGCAGCGCCAGTTGTTTTAATTTGCTTGCATTAAACGTATAAAACTGTAACGTTATGTATGTTCGCAGTCCAGAATAAGCTATTTTAAAAAGAAATGAAATGGATATTACTAAAGGTATAAAAAAGTTAAATGTTGAATATCGTGTTTTTAATTAAACGATTTTAAGTAAAAAGGAATGGACGATTTTAAAAATTGTTTATGGCATTTTGAGAGTAAGAGCAAAGGTATATTTTTTATTTCATGCATAAATATTTTTAATTTTAAAAAAGTAAACAATTTTTAAGTTTACCAAATATGTACCCGATGCTTTAAAATTGTTTTAACTAAATGATTGATACTATAATATATTTTATGTTATTGTGTGCGAAGAAGACAAGTATCTTTAAAGCATAACTTTTGTTCTGGATGAAAAACCTGATGAAACTCATGATCCCATAAAAGATAAAATTGCTTCCATGTATGGGGGTTTTAATTAATAACTTAAAGTAACGTATTTGGATATCCAGACACGTTGTTTAAAAATCGGAATTGATGCTTTAAAATCGATTTAGTATATCATATGGCATAATATAGAGTTCTTTCAAAATACTGTGTACCTGGGTTATTTAATTAAATAAATGCCTTAAGTGGAGCATGTTGCTTGCACGTTGTTTTTGGTAATTTATTTGACAAACTTTTGCGGAATGCTTTTTTATAATTGTTATTGATTTGTCGTTCGGTGTACTATGACTTTTGAAATGCTTTCGATGTGCATCAATCACCCATCATTTTATATGTTTTTAAATAAATCCAGTACATAAACTAAATAATATTTATATTTAAAAAACATGACAAAAAACCATGACACGTATATGGCTACAGCGCTTGAAGGTGGTCAAGTTGTTATAAACTGTTATAAACAGTTTCGTGAATTCATTTTCATCCATCAAGATATTTACGTTGCGAGAAAATGCTGAATGCATGTTGTTTTGAAATATGTTGCATCAACCACGCACGGCTTTCCGATGTTCGTACACAGCTTGAAACGCAGTGTTGTAAGTGAAATCGCCGCATTTTGGAGGGGGCATTTTACGGTAAACATTTTTTTTCGCAATTCCGTTCGCACGTTCATTCTTTTTATTTGCACAACGCTAACGCTACGATGCGATTAAAGGTTAATTGGGCACTCGTTTACAGACGATACGTATATGTACGACGACGAAGCACGCGGTCTGTCCGGCAGAGGGCATTGGTACGACGAGCCGCCGTACGAAAGCGACCCTGAAGATTTTCTGATGGGCGGCGGGGCCCCCGCGGCGACATTCCAAAATGGCCGAGTTTGTTTCACGCTCAACCTAAGGAACGAGCCTAGAGGTGAAGGCGTGATATCGTTGAGGAGCGCTGGGGACATTAGTTTAGCGAGGGCCCCTCGCAGGGGCTTGATAATACCGCAAAGTGGTCCCTTCCCAACTACAGTCATCCCTCTCCATTCGGCAAGGGACCGTGAGAGCGGGGATTACGCCGCGTCCGACATCCAATCGATCGGCTCGCGATTATCCGGAATTTCGTTAGAGTCCAGCCGATCTGAAAGGGACACTAGAAGGGGCTACCGTCAAATGTCGGGATACCGGATAGGCATCGATCCCTTATCACCCGCGTCCTCGGATTACGAAGATCAAGAAAGCGAAACGGACTCCCAACACATAGCCACTGTGCATAAGGTAATTTGTTGTTAAACGAATAAAACGTTTCCAGACCGAAGTTGTTTCCTTTACGAAAGTTCCGATTGTAACGTACATTGATAATTACAGTCAGCTGACGAGTGCGAAGGAGTGTCCAATTTAGCGGGAAAAGTGAGAGGCCTCAGACAAGATGTACAAAGGAAAATATCACGATTAAGGCAGGAGAGGGCTCCTGAAACCGACAGACGAACAAGTGGAGATCAAGCGTTTCCATGTTCTAATAGTTCATTTGAAAGTCTTCCCAGCGGATCAGGCAGTAGTGAGTGGATTTATTGAGTTATTTGTTGGTGTTAATATAAAAATTTGTAAATAAGTTTGTCTTTCCTTTCTTTGTACCATAACGCCCCATTTTTTACTTACAGCTTACATATCTTGGTATTTATCGTTTTCATTCACTATACCCATTTTAGTTCGAATAAACCCCCAATGTATTTACAGCCATACTTAGATGTATTTACAGGTATCTGGTATTGTAAAACGTAAAGATGGATCTGTGTTTTACTTGAGTTGCTAAGTGTACAAATATTTATGTACAGGCACTCAGGCATTGGTTCGCGCCGGTAGTAATCACTCATCTCTCTCGGCAGAAGAAAACATAGAATTAAGTCCTGCCGGCCGGAGTTTACTTGTACCGCAAATGCTGTGCCGGGCTCGGGCGCTGGTCGATTACGTGCCCAATATTTATGAGAAAGATGCCTTGAGATACAAGGTAAGATAATTTTGTAATATTTTCCTCTAGTTCAACGACTTATAGCGATTCTATAATTGCATACACTTTGTCAACAGAAAGGAGATATCATCGAAGTGATCAATATGAATGCCTCAGGCATCTGGCGAGGCGTGTTAAATAACAAAGTTGGCAATTTCAAATTCGCAAATGTCGAAGTTCTCTCTGATAGAGACACAATGAGATCTAGGACGTCGAAGTGGTGCAAAAGTCGCGAAAGGCTCTGGGAAACGCGACCGAGGACGGTGGAGGAATTGCTCAAGAGGATAGACCTGCCAGAGTATGCTTTAGCATTCGCTAGAAACGGTTACGAGGATATTGAGCTGTTCAAGGAGATCGAGCCTTCGGACCTCGACTATCTGGGCATCATGACGCCCGAGCACCGGACCCGGATCCTCGCCGCCGTTCAACTGCTGCACCAGCTTGAATGTGAGTTTAACACGTAGATGAATTTGTTGTCGTACATAATGCCACAAGCTATTCATTCTGGTCGATAATACAAGAATTGTTTTCGCGCTTAGGTGGCGACGGCAACGGGGAAGGCGACGGCGGTGGATCCAGTTCGGAGGGGGGCGATTCGCCCTTCGGTCGCAGGCAGTTCCCGCGCGACTCCGGCTGCTACGAGGCCAGCGTCGCGGTGGGCGGCGTACGCGTGAGGACATCGCCCTTGGTGCACAGGTCGGACGAGCCTTCGCAACGACCTCCGGAGCCAGCCCCGCAGGTGAAACGCTCGATCAGACGTAGGCAGCCCGATGAAGCGGAGTGCGATCGGATCGAGCGCTACCCCGGCACCGGCGCTGAGAGGGTCGCGATCCGCGGCGGCGGACTCCCCGGCGGTGCGAGAGATGACACCTGTGAAACGGACCACAAGCTGAACGTCGTGAAGTTCGTCGCGGGCGGGGAGCCATGCGCGTCGGAGAAGAGCAGCGATTCGGGTGTGAGCAGCTCTTCGCTGAGCTCCGCACACCCACACCGCACTTGAGCGAGGGCCGCCGCGCCCGCGCTCGCCTAGACGCTAGCGCGGGCGCGAGCGCGGACGCGCTGACGCCCGCACAGCCCAACGAAAAACCCTCGACCGAGGAAACTGGATAGAGCGTCCTCTGCCTTACACGGAACCTTAGCACCCCCAAAAGTCGAAGAGAACATGCTTTGCTCTGTGACAACGAACCCGTCAACTAAAAAACTGATTATAAAATCCTGTATAAAACCCTGGCAATATAGAACCTGAATAAAAATCCGCTATCAGTAGCGAAGCTTACGTTTCTTAGAGAAATTTAAATGTTTTCTTCGTCGTAAGTCTTTTGCACTAATAGCGTTTCCACTAGGATACAATGTTCACTTGACTGTTTACCTTAGAGCGTCTCTTTAGATCAAATATTTCCTGCTATGCAAAATAAAAATTTCTATTGTGAAAATATTTTACGGACTTTAAAGAATTTAAATGATCAACTTCTAACGACGGGAAGCGTAATTGTACATTTATTTTGCTAGTTTTAAAAGTTAATTTTCAAAACTGTTTTTTTTTTTTATTTAATAACTTGATTACTTATGATCATTAAGTGGTTTATATTTTGTGTCATTTGAAGTCATCTATAGATATAATAGGTGAAATAAACTGACCTCTTTGAACACGTAAATGGTGGCAACAGCACAAAAATTTAAGTTTGATCAGAAAACAGCAAAATGAATATCTTCATTTATAGATTTAGAAATAAGACTGATTTTTTCCTGAATAGCTTTAACATTATCCCAGAAATATGATGTCACTCAAAAATTTTACTTACATATTTCAATATAAGTAGGACTATAAATTAAACACGATTCCTTATATACGAATGCTTGAAAGAAATAAAGTTAATTGTAGATTAAAAACCCGACTTAATTTAGACGGAATATAAAATTACGAATACGAATATTAATTATTTAATACTCTTAACAAAAAACATCAAAATATATAGAATAGCTGAAAGAAAACGACCACTGAAAACACTGCCTTTTTCATTTTAATACAACCATAATTCATTGACCTTAAATTATTGTCTTACTGTATTTACTTTTTAGTCAGTTAGTGTTTAATCTTGATTTAATATTTTTCTTATGACGTTAATTACAAGTGTTCATTGCATTTCAAGGGTTTTTTTTTTAACTGAAATTATGATCAAGCTATAGCTTAAAGATTGAGAAATCATTCTTCATTATAATAAAGAATGATCTGTCAATTGAATAATGTCTCAGTGTAATATTTCTCGACATTCGGAACTATGCTTTTATAAGCTCGCGTATGTTTGAATTTTAAGTGACGTTAATGCAGCATTAAGTCCGTATTATATCATAGATAAGGCACTAAGCCATATGATTGTAGAAAATTGACGCGTTAAAAGCGCACTTTCGATAGCAATAATTGTAAATAACTCTTATAGATAGGTTAATTATTGAACGTTAAAAACTTTTTGTAATCTTTTCTAAGAGAGCTTTATGCGGCATTCCGCATGTACAGGATAGTATGTAGGTGATTTATTGTGTGAAATCGAATTTCACCGGATATTCCCAATATTTGATTGAGCGCGACAGCTTGTCATTTAATTTGCATTTTAATTTTCAAAGAACTCTATAACACTATCTACGGGGCGTATGGAGTCATGCTAGCTTATGAAAATATGTCTGTATACTGCATAAACAAAAACTAAGTATAAGCACAATTGATTTATGATGACCGCAATTTGTTTATTATGATACTAAGTTGTTGCTATAATTCATTGCACTTATTTTTTAATTCGAATTAGCTGGTAAATTAACTAATGATTTAGCCTGCACTGTAGCTGTTGTGTTTGATAAACAATGTATTCATTGGATTAGCGGCCATGTATAGAACATTGGGAAGTTTTACATACTAATAGACGGGCCTACATTCATAGGAGGTTCACTTCTGTAAATTATGTATTAAAATTCATCAAACACTCTTTGAATATGATCGTGAACTAGTCCGAACTATTAAATGTATATAGATAAATGTTTGTTACTTGTATATTGTAGATAGAACATATTTTCTTTTGACAATTATTGTATATTCAATAATTATCTCTTTATTGACATTGATGTTAAAAATAATTTATTTATATATCTATGTTTTGAAGCTCAGTTAGATGTCGGGAAACCTTTGGATACGTTCAGGTATTTTTTATTTTTTATTTTTAAGGATGTGATTATTATATGGTTAAGCTGTACAAAACACTTCATTTAAACTGGGTTACACATATTCCGCAGCGATTGTCTTTTTTAGCCATATTTATATTTTTTTAAAAACAGACATTATTTGTAAGTTTACAAGTACTCCAGAAAAGGATTCTAAATAAATAAATCCAAAATTTAATGCGTGTTTCAATTATCCAATTTCCCAGTCTTTTAGCAGTAAAAGTGTTTACGAAAAGAAACAAATGTTTGAGTTACCCTCGCATCACTGAAAACAAAACATCTAAAACCGTGTCCTGTCATATGTTTCCAAATTAAACAACAATAACTTCTTAACAGTAGCATCATTGACTTGCTTCAGAAATAGTGTAAATAGTTTATTAAGAGCATATTTTACGAGCACGCTCGTAAAACTGCCGTGATACTGTTAGAACTTTACTAGTTTTTAATAAGGAGTAAATTCCTATTTTATGAACCACCAAATTACGACATAAATTTTAGACGCAGTACAACGTACAAGGTAATGGGAGCCCTAATTAAGTCCGTCCTATACATATTTCTCGTAAAAGATTTCTGTTTATATTCTAACCATATAAAAACGATAACAGCGAATGCTTTAAAGAAGAGAGGTGCCTAGACATAACGGGTTAATTAAGCTGATCGTTTGCTTATCCGTTACTGCCGAATGCATATTTCAGTACAGCAGTAATAACGAGTTGCTGGTTATGTATATAATTATTTATTTTATGTTAAAATCTATTTTGTAGCAGGCGGTTGACCTGACGTTCGGTGATTACCGCGGCCCATCGATCTATAAACACCTGGCAGGTACCAGATGCGTTGCCAACTCATTAAAAAAGTGGTACCCGGTTACCTTAATCACATACGCGATGAATCCGTGGCTTAGTTGCCAAGGTATTGGCTTCAGCGTTTGATTCCCACACGGAACAACTATTTGTATGGCCCACAGATAGTTGTTTCCCATCTGGGTGTTTTTATGTATGTAAAACGTCCTTACAACACAGGATAATGTTATCCTAAAGTAAGGGCAATGTTTTAAAAAAAATGATATTTTCACTTTACGCCTTCTATGAGACAGTAGTTCTTCCCTGGACTAGCCTGTCCATTCGTGCTACAACCGAGGTTGCTGCGTAGTAAAGTTTATTTTTAAGAAATTTTAATTTATTACAACTCAAATTGGAACTATCCTTACTATGGATGTTTGTTACTCTTTCACGCAATTACTGCTGATTGTATTGTAATGAAATTGTACAATAATATAGCTTATACATCAGAATAACACAATCGCTGTAATTTATAAAGATCTTGTGTGATTTTCAAAATATAACGATATATTAATCTTGTAGAAAACGTACGAAAAGATTGTCACCGCTGTAGAAATCGAACCCAGTCTTCGGCATTCGCGCCCCGACGCTTTAGCCACTAAGCTAATTAAGTTAGTACTTAAAAGTTTAATCGTAAGTGCAGAGATTAGCACTATAAAAAACTTTAAATTTTTATAAGTAAGTTTGTTCTTCCAAAAAAATTCTGCCATTTGGCGGCTATATAATAAAAAAACTTATTGTTAACTCCCTTTGAGCGCGCGGGTGAAGCCGCGGTTAACATCTAGTATAAAAATAAAATATCCCTAGATTTTGCTCTTATTAGACTCGGCTGGGAACGACTGGAATCGGACTCGCGATCTGATTTAGAGGGTTTACTCATTTTTACATTGTCCATATTTTATGTGCTGTAAGAATGTCATAGGATGATAAATTCCGAAATGACGAAAACCGAGAACCAGAAAAGTTATCTGTTGGTCACAAATATTTGTATCGTGTGGGAATCGAACCTGAGAACGCTGTCCACAGAGCCGAAGCCAGTGGCTAAACAACTGCGTCATCAAAAAAAAAAATAGTGACAGAATTCCTTGGTTTCGCAATTCATTTAATATTAAACTTTAATATTTTTACGTGTACATTACATTTTTAATAGTAGTGACGTACAGATTTTATTGCGTTCAATTTTAATGTTACTCTGGATATTTGAAGTTCCAGGATTTAAAATTAAAAATATTTTTAATCTATAAAAGTGGAAACCATTAAAAAGTAGTGATAAAATGCGAATTATAGATGTATTCAAAGCTATGGCGTTCGAATATCTAGCACATGGTTTTTGAAATAGACGGCTTTACGCAATACAATAGCCGACACTTCAAGGGTGAGTGATTCGTCTTAAGTAGAAGTCGTTTTCTACTTGAGATCCGTCCGATAGGTATGCCAGCAATGCTGGACGAAGAGAAGGCCGAATGCCTGGCTGACAGCCTAGAGTCTCAATGCTCCCCCAGTCTGCTTCCGATCGACCCCGAAGCGGAGGTGGCAAGGTGAACGAAGAGGTAGAAAGGAAAGCTTTAGAGCCACTCCGCGATCCCGTTCCCCCGGTCACGTGCCTAGAACTAGTAGAGACCATTAAAAAACTACGCCCCCGTAAAGCACCAGGCTCAGATGGAATCACCAATAAAGTGACCAAGCTCCTCCCTACTAGCATCCTTCAGATACTAGTATTAATTTACAACGCGGCCTTAACCGAAGGCTTCTTCCCATCCGAGTGGAAGGAAGCCGATGTCATAGGGTTCCTCAAACCCTCTAAACCCGCCACTCTCCCAACCTCATATCGTCCAATAAGTCTTCTCAAAACATTTGGGAAGATCTTTGAAAGACTAATATTAGCCCGCTTAAGATCCCTTATGGACACCAACAAAGGGCTCCCCATCCCAGAGCAGTTTGGATT